TTTTGTTTTGCTTGCTGAGTCAGAATCAAGTCAGTCAGGAAGAAGCATCTAAATATACATTGGAGTATGTCATGGAGGACTAATTAAAGTCAATTGAAAGAAATGAAACTTGATAATTGGTTGATTTACCAATTGGAAAGAAGTCAACTAAAGTGAAATGGATTTTAAAACCAAAATGAAATCAAATGGAGAGGTTTCTAAATACAAAATTAGGCTTATTGCAAGATAATTTTTACATAAGTATGATCAAGATTACAGTGAAGTTTTTATTTGAGTAACAATGTTTGACATTGTGAGATTGATCACAGCTATTACAAGTCATAAATGTCTGTCAAATTATCATCTTCACTTGAAATTAGTATTTCTTAATGGTCCTCTATAAGAAGAAGTTACTAAACATGATGAAGGAAATGTTGTTCCAAATTATTTATGGGGAGAGGGTGTGTTTATTGTTATGTACATCCTAAATAGAAGTCTTACAAAGAAGTTATCTGTATGTACTCCTCAGGAAGCATGGTCAGGATAGAAGTCAAGTATGAGTCGTTTTAGAGTTTTTGACTCACTATATTTCAAAGATGCGCCTAAACAACTTTGAGAGAAGCTTGATGACAGAGCAAAATTAATTATTTTCATTGATTATCATCCAATAGGTTCTTATAAGTACAATCCTAAAAGTAAGAAGGTTCATATCAGTAAAAATGTTCTTATTGATGAATTACAAAGGTGAGATTGGTCTGATACAATATTCGACATAAATGTTATGTATTTTGAAGATTCAGGTGATATTCAATACATTATTGAATCATTTGACCATCAACCAAGAAGATCTCAAAGGATAAAACATGCATCTCATTCCCTTAGAAATTATTAAGTTTATTCTGATACAACAATAAATACATACGAAGAATTAGTTCATTTTGTTTTGCTTGCTGAGTCATAATCAAGTCAGTTAGGAAGAAGCATCTAAATGTACATTGGAGTATGTCATGGAGGACTAATTAAAGTCAATCGAAAGAAATGAAACTTGATAATTGGTTGATTTACCAATTGGAAAGAAGTCAACTAAAGTGAAATGGATTTTAAAACCAAAATGAAATCAAATGGAGAGGTTTCTAAATACAAGATTAGGCTTATTGCAAGATAATTTTTCCATAAGTATGATCAAGATTACAGTGAAGTTTTTGTTTGAGTAACAATGTTTGACACTATGAGATTGATCACAGCTATTACAAGTCATAAATGTTGGTCAAATTATGATCTTCACTTGAAATTAGTATTTCTTAATGGTCCTCTATAAGAAGAAGTTACTAAACATGATGAAGGGAAAAGGCGTGCCAAATTATTTATGGGGAGAGGGGGTGTCTATTGTTATGTACATCCTAAATAGAAGTCTTACAAAGAAGTTATCTGTATGTACTCCTCAGGAAGTGTGGTCAGGATAGAAGTCAAGTATGAGTCATTTTAGAGTTTTTGGCTCACTATATTTCAAAGATGCGCCTAAACAACTTTGAGAGAAGCTTGATGACAGAGCAAAATTAATTATTTTCATTGATTATCATCCAATAGGTTCTTATAAGTGTAATCCTAAAAGTAAGAAGGTTCACATCAGTAAAAATGTTTGTATTGATGAATTACAAAGGTGAGATTGGTCTGATACAATATTCGACATAAATGTTATGTATTTTGAAGATTCAGGTGATATTCAATACATTATTGAATCATTTGACCATCAACCAAGAAGATCTCAAAGGATAAAACATGCATCTCATTCCCTTAGAAATTATTAAGTTTATTCTGATACAACAATAAATACATAGGGAGAATTAGTTCATTTTGTTTTGCTGTTTTGAGTCATAATCAAGTCAGTCAGGAAGAAGCATCTAAATGTACATTGGAGTATGTCATGGAGGACTAATTAAAGTCAATCGAAAGAAATGAAACTTGATAATTGGTTGATTTACCAATTGGAAAGAAGTCAACTAAAGTGAAATGGATTTTAAAACCAAAATGAAATCAAATGGAGAGGTTTCTAAATACAAGATTAGGCTTACTGCAAGATAATTTTTACATAAGTATGATCAAGATTACAGTGAAGTTTTTATTTGAGTAACAATGTTTGACACTGTGAGATTGATCACAGCTATTACAAGTCATAAATGTCTGTCAAATTATCATCTTCACTTGAAATTAGTATTTCTTAATGGTCCTCTAGAAGAAGAAGTTACTAAACATGATGAAGGAAATGTTGTTCCAAATTATTTATGGGGAGAGGGGGTGTCTATTGTTATGTACATCCTAAATAGAAGTCTTACAAAGAAGTTATCTGTATGTACTCCTCAAGAAGCATGGTCAGGATAGAAGTCAAGTATGAGTCATTTTAGAGTTTTTGGCTCACTATATTTCAAAGATGCACCTAAACAACTTTGAGAGAAGCTTGATGACAGAGTAAAATTAATTATTTTTATTGATTATCATCCAATAGGTTCTTATAAGTACAATCCTAAAAGTACGAAGGTTCATATCAGTAAAAATGTTTTTATTGATGAATTACAAAGGTGAGATTGGTCTGATACAATATTCGACATAAATGTTATGTATTTTGAAGATTCAGGTGATATTCAATACATTATTGAATCATTTGACCATCAACTAAGAAGATCTCAAAGGATAAAACATGCATCTCATTCCTTTAGAAATTCTTAAGTTTATTCTGATACAACAATAAATACATAGGGAGAATTAGTTCATTTTGTTTTGCTTGCTGAGTCATAATCAAGTCAGTCAGGAAGAAGCATCTAAATGTACATTGGAGTATGTAATGGAGGACTAATTAAAGTCAATCGAAAGAAATGAAACTTGATAATTGGTTGATTTACCAATTGGAAAGAAATCAACTAAAGTGAAATGGATTTTAAAACCAAAATGAAATCAAATAGAGAGGTTTCTAAATACAAGATTAGGCTTATTGCAAGATAATTTTTACATAAGTATGATCAAGATTACAGTGAAGTTTTTGTTTGAGTAACAATGTTTGACATTGTGAGATTGATCATAGCTATTACTAGTCATAAATGTTGGTCAAATTATCATATTCACTTGAAATTAGTATTTCTTAATGGTCCTCTATAAGAAGAAGTTACTAAACACAACCACCAAGACAGTTTATAAATCGAAAAAGTCTTTATATGACCTTAAACAAGTGACAAAGACTTAGAACAATATAATTGACCCAATAAATTGGTGTGAAAGTCAATATCTTGAGAGAATAGTAGAATATCATCTATATAAATAATAGTTTTGTCTAATATGGGTTCAAAAACTTTTGTCATAGCCTTCTGAAATAATGAAGGAATTCCTTAAATCCAAAGGGCATTACTTGGGCATTGAGAATGCAAAAAACAGTTTTTTATTCAACAAAATATCAATAAATGCACTTCTAAGCATGACATCTATATCAGAAATCACAAGAGCAACTCATCGATCATTTGTCTTTGTGTAGATGATCTTTTAATAATTGAAAGCAACTTGGATAATGATATAGTTAAGTTAAGTAAAGAGATGAAAAAAATAAGTTGAGGATATTTTGAGAAAGGTCTAATAGGAATTATTACAATTTAATTATTACTTCCATTGAGCTTCGAATCTATCTCCAACTAGAAGGTAATGAATAAGCTATAAATTATACTTTGTACAAACATATTATGGGATCACTAAGATACCTATGCAATAGGTTTGATAAAAAGATTTATGAGAGAACTAAGAACTTTTCATTTACAATTAGCAAAAAAATTTAAGATACTTAAAAGTTATTATAAACCTATAGGAATTTTCTACCCTTAGAGTAAGAAGAATGCAAAATGAGAGGTTTATGCTTATAATAATTAGGATTGGTGTGAAGACAAAGGAGATATAAAAAGCACCCAAAGTTATGCTTTAAAATTTGAGTCAACACCAATCTCTTTGGAGTTTAAATAAATAAGATATTGTTACTCTCTGAATATGTGAGATTAAATATATCTATCTAACTGTTGCTGAAATGATTTATCTTAAGACTGTCATAAAAAAAACTACATTTTAAAATTAACTAGACTTATGAGATTACTAATTAATAACATATCAACTATTGACTTGATAATACATCCCATAGGAGAAGAATAAACATTTCTTAAAGAATTAAGTAAGTAAACAAAAACTTGAACTTAAAAATTTGCATACTTGAAAAATAACAAACAAACATATTAACAAGTTTCTAAAGAATATCAAGTTCAAGAAATATAAAATAAATTTAAGAAAAGTAGTTTCATACTAGAATGTAAACTAAAAAAAAGTGTTATAATTAATTAAAATTTTATTATCAAATAATTATTTATTAGACCCTTAGTTAAAAAAAATAGATTCTCTAAAATATATCCAATCTAATTTAATTCAATTTTCTTCTTTTGTCTCCTGTTAAACACTAAAATAAACAATATTAATAGTTGACAAAAAAAATTAATAACATAATTTTAACTTTTATAAATAATAAACAAATAGAAATATTTGTTTTCAAACATTCGATTAGATTTCAATTTGTATACATATTATTATTCATTTTTTTACATATTTTATAAAATTAATTTTAAGAACACTACAACCATTTATTACATCGTTAATGATAAAAAAATGTAATATATATATATATATATATATATATATATATATATATATATTTTGTAAACTAGGTTGAAAAGTGATATATGATAAAATTCATACAATAATAATGATAATTAAATGATCAATTATATAGTTAAGTGAGGATATATATTAATAAAATACATGAAAATGATGAATATATATTATATTTTTTGGGGTCTCGATTAATATATACACATTTAATTTAATTCAATTTAATTCGAAACAGCTCTGTAAATAGATTTATCAATGTTTCATGAATACGAACTCAATTTCCCTGTTCTGTTCTGTTCTGTTTTGTGTGTGCTGCTCTAATGGAAAAGATGTGCATGTGTTCATCTCCTTCTCCATCACAGAAAATCAAACATGCTTTGGCTTCAGCTGAGTCAACTCGGGAAGAGGGCTTCTTCTCCCCATTGAATCCGATTTGTGCCGATGCGCTTGCATGTTCCATGGCCAGACTCTGCTTAACCACCGCCCATCCGCTAATTCCACCCAACTCCTCCACCAGGCTGTGTTGCCACTGTTGTGGACAATTCCTTCATCGTCACACTTCCACTTCTCTTCAAGATGCGAAGGAGAAATTGATTTCAGCAGCAAAAATACCCTCTCAACTACTACGAGAGCCAGACCTGATGGAGATAATCCTGTGGCAACTCAAGGATCATTTGTGCGACCTAATGATGGACCAACATTGCATGTTTTCAATTCTCACTATTTTTCAAGCTAGCAGTACCCACCACATCACCCAGATTCTTGACTTGGCTATTCAAAACGAGGACAAGCTTAAGGAAGTGTGCATGCATACTCATGGGTACCGCTATACATAGCTACTGTTATGATATGATGGGTATCTTGAGAGTTTTGAATCTGAATTGCTGGTTAGTGCAGGAGTGTGGTTATCCAGAAGTTGTTGGAGCATCTGAAGACTCCGGTGCAGATATGTGAAGCTATGTTCGCTATGAAGCGGATGAGTGTGAGATTGAGTAAGAACATGAATGGAGGTCATGTCATTTACCACTGCTTCAATCTTTTCTCCCCTGCGCTTACAAGGGTAAGCCACCCTCCATCCATTCTTCTTCCTTCTGTTACTCCCAAATTTCATATTTACTTCCCAGACTCTCTGTCATTCTCGTACCTTGTTTTGCATCTTTCTCCCTCTCAGGTATATCTGCTATTTGTTCTTTCTTACTCAGTTGCGATTCTTTGACTCTATCTAATTATGTATGCATTTTTCCTTTCTTTTGTATTTTATGGTCCTGTTCATCTTGTCTTTTATTACAAACTAATGTTTTCTATGATACTTAGATTAAAAAAACCAGAAATCCTTGCAAATAACAGGTGATAAAAACATTTTTTAAATGAGCATTATACTGGGTTAACAATAGTTTTCATGAATTCAACACATTTAATAAATATCTTAATATCTTGGGTGATCATTTCTTCGTTGATACATTAACTCTGATATTTGTGCTGATATAATCTTTTGATACTCTCTGTTTTGAACTTTTGCTTTCCCAATGAACTAACTATTTTGAATCCATACTATTCTTCCTTAGAATAATTGCTCTTAATTAGAAAGAAAAACATTTGGAAAAAGTAAATAGAAATCTAACAAAAATTTATCAAGCATCCCGGTGGTTAAAAAAAATGAGTGGGACTTAAATCATCACTGGTTACATTTTGAGATGGGATATTCAATCATTTCAAGTAATCAAGCTTTCTATGTGCAAATATGTGTTTCATATAACCTTTTCCTTACAAAAATGTTGTATTAGTTGAGTGTAGATTTATCATACATAATATTGTTAATAATTAATATGAAATTTTACTTTTAATTATAATATATAGTGTCTTACATGAGACTAAATTTATCTTCTTCTTTTAAGTTAGAATTAATAAAGTTAGAATTAATAATTGATGTTGAGCAATTTTACCTCTTGAATTGTTATAATAGTTTATTTATTAACAATTTTGTTCATATTACATATTTTATTCATATTAATACCTTTTAAATATAATATAAATAGAACTAAAAATTAATACCAATTAATATGAAAATATATCCTTAACAAATTTTAATAATTCATTGTCACTCTCTAACAGAACTTCATCTTCTTCTTTTTTTTTTTTTCTAAATTTCTACAAAGGAAATATAACTTGATATTGAAATGTTTAGTCTTCTCATGAAAAAATCTAAATTATAGCAGTTGTTTGATCATTGCATACACTTGAATTGAATTGAATCTGTATGAATTATTTGTAGGTGAACTAGAATTTTCTTCAATCACAATACTTGATTAACAACAACAACAATGATGAACTCTGCTTCTCCAGTTAACTGTGTCATAGTATCTTACTTTTTTAAGTCTATAAAAACACTTCAGAATCATTGAACTTTCTCAATCACTAATAGAAAATCTATGAAATTTAAATTCATAGTTATACTTAACCATCATAGTATCTTACTTTTTTAAGTCCATAAAAACACTTCAGAATCATTGAACTTTCTCAATCACTAATAGAAAATCTATGAAATTTAAATTCATAGTTATACTTAACCATCATAGTATCTTACTTTTTTAAGTTCATAAAAACACTTCAGAATCATTGAACTTTCTCAATCATTAATAGAAAATTTATGAAATTTAAATTCATAGTTATACTTAACCAAATTCCCGTATTAAAGTCTACTTTTGACATATTAACACATGTTTGTCTATTTGAAGATGCACTTCACTTACATAATGTATGAATCTTAATATTCATAACCTACAAAATATCAACTCTTGTTGTGAGATACATTAGGTAGCCAACAAGACTTCTAAAATCAATCTTATTAACCTTTTTTGTACCGTCTTCTTTGCAAAGTTTCACCTTTTAAAACATTAGAGTACTAGTAGATTAGAGTTCTGCATTGGATTTTTTTTTTTTTCAAAATTTCTTTTTGCATATTTCTTTTGACTAATAAAAATACCTTTTTTTTCTTGTTTATATTATACGTCAAGAAAGAACATCATTTCTGCACAGTCTATCATCTTAAAAACTTTTATTATATTTGGCTTGAATTTCTCAACAAATGTAGTATTGATTCTTATCAATAAAAAATCATTTACATATAAAAACAAATAAAATTTTAAAATTCAAGCATACCATAAGGAGGCCTTTTGCAACAAATAGACCTATCTTCGTGTCTTTTAACTGCAAAACATTTCATATTGTTCAGTATATATTTCTTCATGTAATATAACCGTTGAGAAAAATATATTTCACATTTAATTAAAACACCATCCAACTTACTGCAAATACTTGAGCATATGTCTTTACTACAAGTCAATACAAATTACATCCAAGTTTGGTTCTTTTCAATCATGTTAAGTTCCTCCTCCATTGTAACAGTCCACTTTGAATTCTTTCTATTTCAAACAAATATACAAGTTCTAAAACAACATTACACCTTTCATAAATATCTAAAAGTAATTGGATTCTCCTGATAAATTGATCATCAATTTTTTCATCCTTTTCTTAAAAAATAAAAAGTAAAACTTGTTTGCACCTCCTCCATTAGATCTAAAGATAATTTTTTTCCTTCACTTTGACTTTGAACAAGTTGTATCCATTTATATCTTTAATCAAACACATTTTGCACCTAAACAAGATTTTGTAGTCTTTTTCTAGCATCTAGTACTGAACAACTTTTTATTACTTTCAAGTCCATAAAGTACATGAGGGATTATTTTTGTACTTAAGCAACTTTTAATTCTAACATTATCTTTCCTTTTCACAATTATGTACTCTTTATTGTCAAGTTCGACTTTTGAAACAATTGTTTATCCAACTCCTTGAATAACTCTTCACTATAAGTCATATGATGTGTCCATCCACTCTTAATCAACCAACTTTTACTATTGATGTTGGTGGTAAAATAAGTTACTACAAATAATTGTTCATTCTCCTCCTCTTCTTGATCAATCACTTGAATTTCAGTTTGAAACTGCATTTTGTTACTGCAAAATCTGTTATAATATGATCAAACTAGTTGTATCTTATCTTTTCAACATCAAAAATAAGGATGATTCTTCTACGATGTTGACAAGAAGGATACTTTGCCTCTTTATATTTTCCTTTGTCATCTTTAAAACTTTCTCTTGGACAAAAATTTGCTCCCTTCATTTACAACAAGTACCAGTTTGACATTTACAACACCTTCATTCATATCATTCTTCATCATGAATCTCCTTTATTCTTAGACTTGTAAGACATATAACAATTTTATCAAAATTATATATGACAAATCTTTGAAATTTTCCAAAGAAAAAAATATTGGATTCAAATATCTCAGGAATCGTGATGAGAATTTTTTGCCTTGTTAACAAGCTTAGAAGTTTTTCAGAATATTCTTTTACACTTTTTCTGACTCCTTAATCTATTGGATCTCAAATTCATTAATTGCACATGCATCCATTTGACTCTCTCAGTTCCTTCATCTCCTTGTTTGAGAAAATCTCACATGATTATTTTTATTGTTGAGTTTTTGCCCCTAAGTTGGAAATACCACAAAAAATAATCACAAGTTTGTCTTTCATGTTCTCTGCTTCCTTTCACTGATGTTTATGATTTGATTGATAACATGCATTAAAAGAAACCTCCATCGATTTGACTGCCCAAAGGTGATAATTTCCATCCTAAAAAATGGGTAGTGTAAAGATTGAGTTATCAGGTTGTATTCTCTCTCACCTGTCAATACAGGTAATTGAGTGTTTGGTGGAACTCTGAATCTCACCACGTCACTCTCAAGAATAAACAAAACTCTAACACCCACAGCTGGATTTCACAATAGTTTAGAGTTGAAAATTAATCATATTTTATTCATGTTGACAATCTTTAAATATATTATAAATAAAACTGAAAATTAATAATAATTACACTAATTAAATTAAAAATAAATCAAAATTAAAACTACCAATAAAAATTTTTAAATGTTGGTTATCACCTATAATTAAAACTTATAACAATAAGAATTTCAATCAATTCTAATATACTGTAATAAATTTTAATAATAGCTACTTATTCATATATTCAAACAGATTTAAGCACTTTTTAAAATTATTTCAGTTTATAATTTGTGAAAAACAATTTGGAATATTTAATTCAATCCTGACTCTTGAAGGTATACCACATCATAATGCAAAATAGATTAGCTTATTTATGGTTAAGAGCTCTTAATGTTACTACCACTATTCTCACTTGAAAGTCTTCCTTTCAGTTTATTATAGATGAAGTAGCAGAGAACTGTGTTGAAATTGCAACAGACAAAAGTGGATGTGCTGTTCTTCAAACATGTCTTCATCATGCAAAAGACAATACTATGAAGCGCCTGCTCGAAGAAATAGTCTCACATGTTTCACTCCTCTCTGAACATCCTTTTGGGTTTATCTCCAATTCTTCGACTTCCTTTTTCTTTTCAGAAATTTATTCTTTTAATCATACACTTTATTATTAGTTAACTTTTGATTTATTTTTTTACAGAAATTATATTGTGCAGTACGTTGTTAAAATGAAGATACCTGATATTAATCAAGAGATAATGTTAAAACTTCAAGGTAGATATGCTCAATTATCTATGAACAAGCATGCCAGCAATGTGGTGGAACACCTCTTGGAATTCTCAGAAGAGAAGGATGCTGTTATTATTATTCAGGAGCTAATGCAGAATCAGAATATTTTGTGCATCATGCAGGATCCTTATGGGAATTATGTTGTTCAAAGAGCGCTGCAAAATTGCAAGGTTACACAACTCAACATTTATCCTTTTTGCAATAGTGAATCGATGCAGTTGGCTGGTTGCATTAAGTAATGATTTGTTACTCATTTGCAGGGCAGTGTTTATAAAACGCTTTCAAGCATAATTTTGTTGAATTATCCACATCTGCACAGCCATCCTTTCGGAAAACGGGTTCTGACATTTGTCCAAAGACGCATGAACTATGGACGAAGGTATATCTCAAAACAGGGTGGATCGATGTAACTTGTGTCAGTGGTTTTTTTCGGACTCTGTGTTTCTTTCAGTATATTATGTGTGCGAGGCCACGACTATGATGAAATTTTCCCGAGGGAAACTGTTTCTGGTAGGTGGTTGACTCTTATCATCAAACAAACTTTTCTTAGATGTTAACTTTTCTATCATGAATATGGTGTTTGATTTTAGTATATTCGTATATGACCTCACAGCAACTTGCGAGTTTACACGTTCTAGATGCATTCAACCAGATGAATAAGGGAAGTGATTTGATATGAAACTCAAATGAAAGCGTATCTACTGTTTGAAATTCGATAGGAAGAGAGAAAAATAGTGAACTGCCAGATAAACTAATAATAATAGTGCCATACAAAATAACTGCCCTCGAATACAAAATATCCTCTCAAATCTGCCAAGAATGCAAACAATGTATATAACTCAAATACAGTAATAAAGTCCCATATCACATCCACGTAACAAATAATATAGAAAAAGGTAAATAACAAAATAACATGAATTTGGTCCGAAGACAGACATCTCTAGAACATCATGGACAGCAAAGCACATCCCAATACTGTGCTCCCAATCATCTTCCCAAAAGACCACAACTTTTCAGCCCCACTCTGCAACGCCACAAATTAAGCTCATTCATTTTTTTTTTCCAACAAACGCAATCTAAAAGGTGGTGCATGCCAACCAAAGCTTAAAAAAAGCTAGAAAATTACTGTCATGATAAATAAAGTAGATTGTCCTAGATTTGGTACAGCAGTATATTTCATGTTTACTTCTTCTACAAGTGATCGTCATCGTCAGTGGGTGGGAGTAAGGAGAATTGATGGCTATTTAAGAGTATATACAGCACCCTACCTTACTCTCTCTCTCTCACACATCAATTTACAGTTCAAAATTTGTATTTTCAGGTGACTATAAAGAAGAAGTCATATTTTAACAATTCCATAAATAAATAACCGTTAACATAATCTATTTTTATTAATATAATAATTATAAAATAATTTAATAAAAATAAAATTAAATTAAAATTATTATTATAATATTAAAAGTGGATTATTTTTAAAAATTATATAATTTAAGATTGTCCAAATATCATTTTTATTTTTTTAAAAAGAAAAAAGAAATGATAGGATTGTACCAACAGGACCAGTGGGTGAGAATTGAATATGTCTTGTTGGTATTAAATATAATAAAAATGATATTTTGATAATCTCAAATCATCAATTTTTAAAATTAATTTATTTTTAATATTATAATAATAATTTTAATTTTTTTATTAAATTACTTTATAACTTTATATTAATAAAAATATGTTGTTTTAAGAATTATTTGATTATGAAGTTATTAAAATATAGCTTCTCTTAAAAAAAATGAAATTTTATATTTTTAAAGATATTTTTCTTTCTTTTCTTTTTTTTTAATAAAAACAAGACTGATGCAACAAAACCTTCACATGCAAGTGTGAACATGTAGTTTAACTGATACTAGGAAGGATAGAGTTGATAGAGTTTTAAATATATGAGTCTAAATATGGTACATTTTAGTAAATAAACAAAATTTGGTAGCAAAAGACATTTTCACACAAATGAAAGTGGAATAATTAACCCTGAAGCTCCTATTTTGCTGTGTAAAATACAAATGCAATGAGATATATGTATAATGAGAGATGCAGAGAAAGAAAGAGAGGAGTGAAGAACTTACATCATCACCAGAGGGAGAGATGGTGGAGAGGCTGGGACCGGGAGCTAAGGAGGGAGAGAGTGAAGGGGAAAGGAGCTTGGCAGGAGCCGGAGCTGGAGACGTGGTTGGTGGAGAGGAGAGAGGTGCCGGGGTCAATGCAGGAGGAGGAACTGCAGGGGGAGGAGTCGCCGGTGGAGGGGTGGCTGGAGGGGGAGTGGCAGGTGGTGGTGAAAAGGGAGGGGGAGAGGCTGGGGGTGGAGAGGCCGGGGGAGGGGATGCAGGTGGAGGAGAGGCAGGAGGAGGGGAGGCAGGAGGTGGAGAGGCCGGGGGAGGAGAGCTGACGGGTGGGGGTGTGGCGGCGGGTGGTGGAGACTGAGCAGGAGGAGGTGAAGACTGAAGAGGCGGCGGAGAGGACTGAGCGGGAGGTGGTGAAGATTGAAGTGGAGGCGGAGAGGCCTGGGGAGTGGTGGGCGTGGGAGGCGTGGGAGGCGCAGGAGAGGTGGTTGGGGAGGTGGATGGAGCTTGGCCTCCAACGCGGGCAAGTACAGTGCAGATGAAGGCAAGCGCCAAAAGCGAATGTTTTTCCATCTTCTCTTTTTCTGGTTCTTACTATCTCTTCCTTCTCTGCTCATTCAAACTGAAGCATGGAACATGTTATATAGCCACACTCATTCCTATGTTTGGATCTAAACGCAACCAAACACACACTCTTCCTGTGGGATGGGACCCATCATCTATCAATTAATAATAAACCATTTTTCACTTAACTAAAACCCTCCTTCAATGCATCTCTTATTTTACTTTTTAACATATTATTACATAACAGCCAAGAAAATAAAGTTGTTAATTTCAACTTCTTTTCCTTATAAAAATGGAGTGAAAACATGAGTAGCCAGACCCACCACCAATTATGATAGCACGTCTCTAACCACCAAAATCATAGTGCGATGTGCTACCTCAACTCTTTATTTTGCTAACCATGCCAATATTTTAACCTTTAACCAATCCATTATTTTCGTTTGCTTTTCAAATTAATTAAGCACAAAATTATTTACACTAATATACTTTTTATCATTTTACATTCTTTCATAGATAGCTTACCACTTTATTACACACAGGTAACGTGCTTGCATGTTGCTTACGTCCACCAAATATTATTCTTCTACTTCTTACATTATTCAATTCCCTCCTTATACCTAATATTCACTCCACTCCATCAATTTCTTTTAGATGATTTCTTTTAAATTTTAGTCATGCCATAAAATGACATCTTTCATATGTATCAAATGTCAGTATTGAATTAGGGTTTTTTCTTTTCCCGTGAGAAAATTATATATGTTAATATTTGACCGAACATACAGGTATCAAATTTTAAAATTCTATCTAAGACAAACAACTAGTTAATTCCACCAAATATATTGATGATAAGGATTGCCTGATAATCATTATTAAATATACGTTATTTATAAATGTTAACTAATCAATTAACTCGTACTTATGAAATTAATTATTCATTAATAATTATATATTTATATGTTATACAAAAATCATATATAATAAATTCATAATATTCATATTAATAATGGCCTGAACTTCTTTAAAAAAATATAATAACAAAAAGAAAATAATAATAATAATAAAAGATTGGCTTTCTTCAACTACATATTATAAAATAATGATAATTACGTAAATATATATTAAGGTGTTTACGTGTTAAAATGATGAAGTTTAATTTTCTTGTATTTTAATTTTTTTTTAATTATTATATATAAAAATATATAGTTATTATCTTAATACATTTTGAAAATATAATTTTTGAGATGTGTTGTTTTACTTCTTGTTTATAATTGAAATTTGTGTTACATGTAATACTTTCTTTTGAACATTATGCAGTGCACGCAGTGTGTATAAATGTGAAGTCCACGGCATCATTCTCATAGAAAATATAACCTGATTGATTGATTGTGTGTTCTAACGACGAGACCGGAACCATAAGATGTTTTCTTGTTATTTGGCAAAACTCTCCAGAATCCTAGAAATACAGAGAGATATCTGACGTATACATGTATGTGTAGCATGAAAAGAATATATGTTTGGTGGTATTGGAAGGTTTGGATTGCAAAGAAAAGTAAGAAGAGTGTGGGTCACGGGTTCATTTGTGGTGGAGCTGGAGGCATGGGTGATTTGTACTCCACGCTCATGGACTGGTTGGTAAGGTGGATCTCCCTCCCCGCACACTCGTCATTCATCATCCTCTTACTCTCTCACACTAATATATCCATCCATCTATTATACAAGCTTTCAATTTATGAAAACTTGAAGAGTTTAATGTTCATTCATTTGGTGACAATACTTATTAACAGATCATGAGTTGTGATGATTGTATTGTAGCTTAACATCCAACGGTAATGGTGGGAGGCAATAAACATGATTAGGACTCACATGTGTTGTTTGCTTTTCATTGAATCAAAACAGGTAAACATGAATAGTGTTAATTAATGAGGAAAAGACTTTGCTTACAAAACAATCCAATTTCACGTCACCTCTGCAAAACATGATTATCAGTAATTCGTCTTGCATGGATTAGTTGCCTCAATATAGACGCACCAACGCACATTGTTTTTTATCTACACATTATATACAAAAGGCCCAGGGGACAAAACCAAACTGGAAAAGAAAAAACTTATGAGTTGACTTTGATAGCTATACAGAGGTTAACCCATTATTTCAAAACAGTGACATTAGATTTGTGACCCAATTCACCCTCATAAATAAGCAGTTTGTTTGTTGGAACTTTGATTTCAGAAGCGTCTGTTGCCAAGTGTTCACATTTGTAAGTACCTTAACTACCTCCTGTTAACCTCTGAAAGGGACTATCTACCTCAACAACCCACTGTTACACTTTTAAAGCCAACTCGTCTTTCCTTACTGCATAAACTCACAAACCTCAACCACCATTTCATACCAAAAACTCATGCTACGTATTGTCACAAGATATCTGAATTCAAAAACAAGTTATACCTTCTTTTTATACTGTAAAATTTAGTTTGTTCTGTCCCCTTTTCAGAATATGAAAATATAAAAATGAAAGTGAGCTAGCAGTGTCCTTTTTTGTTGATGGTGTGTAAGAAAAGATGAACAGAAGTGGGTCAGAGAAAGCAAAAGGAGGTATGATTGGTTGGGTTGGTTAGTTTAAAGGTGGATGGTATGGTGCTTTTTCTGAGCTGTATTCACTCCCATCAATCATCCTCGTCGTTAAGCAACAGCCTTCAACAAATTCTTGGTTAATGCATGGACAAGGACAACGACAACGAACCTTCACTTGCTCCTTATTTTCATTCACGATTAAACGGTAATTAAGACCTTCTTCCTCCTAATAACCACATATCTGTCACCCAATTCCTAATTGACTTAAAGTAATAGAAAAAGAGAAAGATAAAAAAAATAGAGAAATAAGAAAAAAAATTATTTCTCAATTTTTTTTATAGTACATTTCACTTTAACTAAATAATCATTTATATTTTTATTTATCATAATAATAATAATATTATTATTATTATTATTATTAATTTTTCTGTGTCAACAAGAAAGTATCTCTTGTGTTAGCACAGAAGGAAAAATAGAAAAGTAGATGACATAAAATTTTCCTGTCTTTTGTATATTTTATATTAGAGTAATTTTTTGTTTATAGAGTTTATTTACATCAGACTTATTTATAAACAGTTAACAAATATAACTACTTTAATTAGTTACAACACTCCCCTCTAATTCAAGTACATGAATCAACCACACCCAGTTCAACTTTCAATCTTCTAAATCGATCTCTTTTCAACGACTTGGTAAGTATATATGCCACTTGAATTTCAGTAGAACAATGAAGTAGATATAACCTTCCATTATTCACCTGCTCACGTAAAAAATGAAATCTAGTTTCAATGTGCTTACTCCTACCATGAGATATAGGATTATTAGCTAGATTAATGGCTAATTTATTATCCACGAGCAACTTAATTGGTCTTTCTATTTCCACTGTCAATTCTATGAGAATTGAGTCCTGCCATGCAGCTTGGCATGCTGCATATGCACCAACAATATATTCAGCCTCACAACTAGATAATGCTACAACTGATTGCTTCTTTGAGCACCAAGAGATTGGTGCTCCCAAAAACATGAAAATGTATCCGCTGGTACTCCTTCTATCTAGGCTATCTCCACACTAATCAGAATCATAATAGCCAAACAATTCATCTTGCAACTGACCCTCTTTTGGAAATAAAATTCCATGACTTACTGTGTCACATTGATGTCCCTCAACACCCTTTTTACAACAAAAAAATGTGTCTTTCTTGGATTATTCATGTATCTACTAATCAATCCAATAGCAAATGAGATATCAGACCTGTTATTGCAAAGATATCTCAGTGAGCCCACCATCTGTTTGTACAAGTTGTTGTCCATTTCTTCCTTTTCATCACTGCATTCATCAAACTTCAAACTTATCTTTGTTAGAGTAGCTGCAGAGTTACTTTCCTCCATATTGAATTTTTTTCAAAATTTCAGTGGCATATTTGTGTTGATGCAATATCATTCCTCTGTTGTTTTCAACAAATTCCATTCCCAGAAAATATCTTAATCTTCCAAGTTTGTCATTTTAAATTTAGCCATCAAAGTTTTCTTAAAAACTTCTATCTCTGTAATACTGCTCCCTGTGATCAATAGATCATCCACATATATGCACATTATCAATAAACCGACTCCATTATGATGCTTTACATACACACCATGTTCAACCGAGCATTTCTGGAAGTGATGTTTCTACATAAACGAATCAATCACTCTGTTCCATACTCTAGGGGCCTGCTTCAAACCATATAAGGCTTTTCTCAGTTTGTAAACCTTGCCTGAACTGTCTTGAACCTCAAATCCTGGTGGTTGTGTAACATACACATCTTCTTCTAGTGGCCCATTTAAAAATGCAAACTTCACATCTAGTTGAAACAAGGGCCACCCTCTTCCATTTGCCAAAGTCACAACCAATCTTATGATTTCAATCCTAGCAACTGGAGCAAACACCTCTAAATAATACAATCCTTGTTTCTGTAAGAAACCCCTTACAACCAATCTAGCCTTTCGTTTAGAAATAGATCCATCAGGATTTTGCTTAATCTTGAAAACCCATTTGACATCAATTGATCTTTTGTCACAGGGTAATTCAGTTAAAAACCAGGTTCCATTCTCCTCAATTGCTTCTAACTCTTCTATCATTGCAGCTCTCCATAATTCTTGATTCAATGATTCTGCATAATCAATGGGCTCAGCTTCTGCTAATAACGCAAAATGCACAAGATCCCCCTCATCTGTTACAGAACTATCTGGAAATAGTTCAAAATCAAGCAAAGATCGTGGTATATTTCTTTATCTGGGTTGCCTCTGCAGCTGTTGTATAGGGATGTGTTGCTGGACAGGTGTCTCCTGAACCTGTTGGACAGGTGCCTCTTCACTGCTTTGTTTATCACTATGTTCATCTTCAAGCATTATCCGAATATTTCGATCTTTTAGATTGCTACAATTTGATGTTCAGTCCCATG